ATACATGTATACAATAGTAATATATTATATATAATATGTGTAAAAATGTTTGTGTATGCATATGTGTGTATAGGTGCCAGTGGAAGCCAGAAGATGGCATTGGATATTGGATCCCCTGGAGCTGGAGTTACACGTGATTGTGAGCCAACCGATGTGGGTGCTAAGAACTGAACTCATGTCCTCTGAAAAAGCAGTACACACTCTTAACTGCTGAGCCATCTCCCAGTTCATTTCTTATTTAAGTGAGGTGGTGAGAAACCTGGCTTGCTTTATGTTGCTTTATTGCATAAAAAGGGCAAGTCTATTTGAAAGAAAGCAACAGTACATCTGAATCCATTAAAATCTATTATTTTATCATCATTATTTTATCTGATAAAATTCTCAAGAGCAGCAATCTCTAGATGCACACTTCCCTTTCTTCTAATGTTTCAGAGAAAATGACCAATGCTTGTGCTTATGAGTTCTTTTTTCTTCCTGCTTCCAAGTTAACAAAGCCTTTGTAAATAATCTTTTCCCTGCAGAAGAACATATTTCTACCGACATGTCTTATCATGCAGCAATTGAAGCACTGCTCTGTGTGTCCCTTCAGAGGCATCTATCTTTTTTAAATGTCTGGCAGTGTCCAAAGTCGACATGTAACCTCTCTACTAGGGCTCTCATAGTGGTTAGAGGAGAAAGTTCTTTTCATTTATACATCTGAGCCAATTCAGTGCCCACATACAACATCATCCCTTACAAATTTCTCTGTTTTCTGTCCTCTAGTTTTCTTTCCTTTCCCAAATATTTACCCTAATCTCCCCACAAACATACAGATAAATATACAGGAGACTTGGTACTTAAGTGTCTGAATTCAAGAGGCATGAATCAAGAACAAAGACTACCAACTATACATATAATTATTTGATATACTCTTCATCTCTTCAGAGATGCAGATCATCTTACCAACACAGTGGAAATAAGTTGTTTTTCTATCCCAATACACAAGAGAGCTACAAAAGGCTCCTAGAAGTTGCAGTTCTTTCCCACAGCAGCAAGTCCCTAGTGGACAAAACATAACCCTGGATGTGGACACGGAAGGCTCTCCTAAAGGAAAAGGAAGACACTCAACGACTTTGGCAGTATGTCACCTTCTCTCTCTGAGCACTTCATGCCCATCAAATACCTAGAGTTTTTATACTCCCCAAAGGTCCCAATTGCTCAAGAAACATCTCTCCATGCTTTAGAAGTTCACATTTACAACTTCCAGTCAGATCTTCACTATTTTATAGCTTTGAGAGCTTATTTCTAGCTCTTAATATGTTCAAACTTTCTCTTCTATCATTGAAAATAATAAAAATTTATCTGTCTACTTCATAAAGTCTTTGTGAGAATGAAATAATATTAAATATAATTTTTTTGGTCTTCTTGAGACTGGGTTTCCCTATAGCCCCAGCTGACCTGGAATTCACTATGTAGACTGGGCTGGCCTTGAACTCTGCCTGCCTCTGCCTCTTGAGTGCTGGGATTAAACATGTGTGCCACCATGCATAATATAAGATTATATATGAAAACCACTATGGAATATGTATGTGAAAAATAATCATTGTGTTACTCTCCTAACTCAAGTCCAAAGTCAAGAAACAATAACATTGAGATTGTCCACACCTCCCATGATACACTCAATTTATTTATTTTTATTTATGTTATTTATTATTTTTATTTTATGTGTATGTGTGTATTGCCTGCATGTAGGTAAGTGCACCCATGTTGTGCAATGCCCTCAGAGCACTGAAGAGACTGTCAGATCCCTGGAACTGGAGTTAGCTGCCATGTGGGTGATGGGATTCGAACCCAGATCTTCTGCAAAAACAGTCAGTGTTCTTAACCATTGCACTATCTCTCCAGCCCCAATACATGCAATTTAGAAGCATAAAGCACTATGGATGACAATGAAACAAAATGTGTTTGAATATGGAAATCAAACATGGTGCTGACATTTGGGTCAGATATAATACTCATGCTTACCTGTTTCTGAAAGCAATTTTGTGGCTTCCAGCACTTTCTCAGTATAGACCCCAGCTTCATAGTTCTCCATCTCAGCATTGATAATGTGGATGACCCGGGCTGCCCGGCCCCTGATGGCCCCAGCTGTGCGATCCAGAGTGTCCACATCCCCCTCTTGGAGAGCAATCACACATTTGTTCACATCCTCTAAGATGTGATTTTCTGTAAAGAGAATACAAACACATTTTATAGGACCTCGTTCCACTCAAAACTTAATAACTAATCTAAAATTGTTTCAACAGCAACTAGGAGCCCCCAACCTTGCAGATGTCCCTGTATAACTGATAACATGAAATAGGATTTAAGGGGCATCACTTATAGTTACAATAGTAGTTGTAAAACCTGAGCTCTAGCCAGAGGGTTCAAACCATCAAATATATTCCTGGGTGCTACTTCTGGAGTTTCTGAGTTAGCATCTTTGGGTTGGATCCAGGAAAGTGAGCTTCAAAAAAATTCCCAGGTGATACTACTAATGGGTCTGGTTAGGGGAACATGCTTTGAGAACTGCTGATATAAAATAACTCCTTTCTTTTTTTTCCAAAGATTGATACTTATTGCCCCAGAGTGTCTTTTAAGAGTTGTTGTTACAGGGGATAGAGAGATTGCTTGGTGATTAAGAGAACTTGCTGCTCTTACAGAGGAGCTGGGTTCAGTTCTTAACATCCATGTAGAGGCTCACATCCACCTCTAGCCACCAAAAGAACTGACACCCACTTCTGGCCTCTGCATACATGTGGTGTGCATACACACACACACATACACACACACACACACACACACACACACATACACACACACACACACAAACACACACACACAGTAAGAAAGAAAGTAAAGATTTGTTGTGACAGCTAACACAATGTCAATCTGACCTGGAAAAATTATTTCTATCCAAGAACAGTAGAAGCCTTGGGTACATAATTACTTGAATTGTTGAGGAAATATTTAAAAGATATTCTAGGACAACAAATGTCAGTCAGTCAATCTTTCAGAATCATGTCATATGGAAAGTATAGTCACTGGGAAAATAGTTCAGTGAAGAAAAAAAATCAAAGAATTACAGTATTCCCTACAATTAAAAATATAATTCAAATCCAGGCGGGGTGGTGCACACCTTTAATCCCAGCACTTGGGAGGCAGAGGCAGGCTGATCTCTGTGAGCGCAAAGCTAGCCTGGTCTACATAGTGAACTCCAGGCCAGCTGGGGCTACTGGGAGGCCCTGTCTCAAAAGGATCCCCCCGCAAAAAAATACAATTCAGACTGTGGCTTATTCATGAGATTATCCTCAAGGAAAGCAGCATTCTCCTGTCACAGCCTAAAGTAGAAAACAAGCAAGAAGGGAAGCCACTCTCTACTGGAGTAGAGAAATGTACACCGCACTGTTCAGCAAAGGGCAAAGTTTCTATGTCCAATGTGCTATTTGTAATTTTGCCTTTTGAGTATTTTTTTTAATTTTTAAAAATGATTTATTTAATAACAACATACTTAGAAGAAGCATATCATTACAACACAATTGACATATTCAATAACGGTTTCCTGAGGTAGGATGCATCACTTTCAAAATTGGCTGTAAATTTTTAGGTTTACAGTTGAAT